AAAATTAAGAGTTCAAGACAGTTGAAATAATATTTCTATCTTGTTAAGATTATGACTGAAAGAAAAAAACTTCTGCAGTCGGTGTAAAAAATATGCGTCCTCCTTTTAAAACGGAATAACTTTTTCATAATTAGGCCAAGCGATCTAAATGTTTCGGAATGTTAGAGTAATTAGTTTGTTGGGCAATTATTTTCAAAAATAATTTTATTTTTGAATAATTTTATCAATTTAATTTATTTTCAATAATGATTTATTATGCAATTATTTTCAAAAATTGCAACTGGTCGAGATGATAAAAAAATCAACTTGTTTATCTGTGAGCCCATGTTAAAAATTTTAAAAATGCATACCGAAAATTTCATTGAAATCGATGCATGTTGTTGTGAATTGTTAGCGTTTGAAGTGAAAATAGCAGTTTTTCACGAATTTCGACCAAACACGCATCAACCGATTTCAATGAAATTGCCAACGTGTGTAATATAAGCTACCGAGATCTACAAAATGCAATTCAAATTGTACAGGCTCGGATAAAAAAATTGATTTTCTTATCATCCCAACCAATTGCAATTTTAGGAAACAATTTTTTAGGATTTACCCAATAATTAGTCACTCTATTAGTTCAACAAAATTCAAACTTCTTGAAATAATTTAAAAAATGTTATTCCATTTTAAAAAAAAGATGTATGTATATGGCTATTACATAGATATCCAGAGACTATTCGTAATTGTGCACTCCACGACATTGCAGTTCTGAACTAGATACAGAATAAACAGCTGTTGCGATTATAAACACATTTCAGATCATTTCCGTCACAAAATCCCAAACCCTCAGCACATTGCGTTGAACTTCCAATCTTTTCCTATTTGCTGTACTCACCACCACTCAAATAACCATTCCAATGACGTATACATTTTGTGCTCATCACATGAAGACTTGAAACTAATGCCAAGAATTCCAAAAATTTCCGGGATCCCCGCCGTACACAACTGTCCACGTACATTCCGGGTCAGGGTCCCGATTATCATCGAAACGAAGATAAAAAAAATAACGATCTCGTCCCACAGCCTTAGAGTTCCTGCGGACAATGCAAAACTGGAATCGATTATACACGTACACAAAACCGTTTATCCCGGACGCAAAAAAAAAACAATGTAGTCACCGATCCGGCATTTCGTTGATACTTCCTGCTCGCTACAGGTGGTCTGGCGAAATCCCCTTCTGTGACGCCCACACGTTCGAAGACGTCATTGGATTTTCTCTGGTTCGAGTCTTCTGTTGGGCATCGGAACCTGTTGACGCCAACGCAAATCAGTTAACCGCCCGTGGGTACGGAAACGTTCATTGCGTCAATGGCTAAATTTGAGAGATCGCTCCTCGAAATTCGGGAAAATCAAAACTCTCGGAACCTGCCGGTTCCAGATACCGATCGATAGATCGCCGTCAAAAGTCAACCAAAACGGATTCAATCAATCGTGCGTACACAGTAAACTGCAGAGCACACGAGCTAGAATCACAGTGCGACGGAAGCGAGGAAAAGTTTACTTTCAAATTTATTTTCAAGTTTATTTTCGAATTTATTTCCAAATCTATTTTCGAATTTATTTCTAAATTTATTTTTGAAATCACTTCGAATTTATTGTTCAAGTTACATTTGAATTCATGTTCTAGTACTGTAATCCGAGAACGACGTCCTTCTATTTTTTGGCATGGGTGGCAATGTGGGATTGTTTATTGTGGCGTTGTAATATACAGAGTGTCCGGAAAATCGTGGTGCAGCCGGCAAGGAAGTAATTCCTCGCATAAACCTGAACCGAAAGTACACAATACAATTTTTGCATACAGGGCTTCATTCCCGAGAAAATCGAGTTTGAGAATTCGTTAGGTAGGCGGTCACTCAGATATAATTGAGTTTGACTGGCCGGACAAACGAAGTAAACTGTGTCTGAGTGCATGGGTAACTAACGAAGTTTCATACTCGATTTTCCTGGAAAATGAAGCCCTGTATGAAACTATTTTATTCTACACCGTCAGCTCCGTTTTATGCGAGGATATATATATATATATATATATATATATATATTTCACAAATTAATAATTTTGTGGGCTCG